AGAACCACATATTGTGTACTTTCATTTATATGAAATATACAGAATAGGCAAACCCGTACAGGCAAGACAGCAGGTTAGGGAGAAATATGGAGTTACTGCTAACAGATATGGGATTTCTTTTTGGAGTACTAAAATGGTCTAATCTTGTAGTGATGGTTGCACAACTCTGTGACTATACTAAAAACCATTGAATTGTACACTTTAAATGGGTAAATTGTATAGTATGTAAATTATATCTTAATAAACCTGTTTAGAAAACAAACAAATAAAACTATCCTGAAGTCTGTCTTACAATAACCAGGTTATTGGTTTGAGTTCAGCCGAAATCCACCCAAGTTGCTCTTTTGAAAATCCAAAAATTCAAATGCAGTTATCCATTCATTGACTCATTCTAAATTTACCAGTAAGTTCTCTGTGTGCAAAATTGGACCATCTTATCAGAAACAGAACACCAGGTCTCCTCAGTGAACCCAGCTTAAACCTGTTTGCTGGATTTGAACAGGGACTCTTTATCACATACCGCAAGTAAGAAATGCCCTCCCTGGCCCTCTGTAGATGAAGGGCCCCAAGGCTTTTAACAGGGGAGTTTCAGGAAAACTCCTTTTCATGTCTGCTCTCAGCAGCAGCTCCAGGACCAGGCCCCTGCGAGAGCTGCACACAGCTTCCTTTGCTCGCTGTCCCAAGGGCAGGTCCAAAGCCAGCCCAGACCCAAGCAGAGCGACCCCGAGCTCATAGGGGTGCTTCCCACCGAGGACCCAAAAACTCAGCACCAAGATCCAAGTTCCTGTGTCCCAGACTTGCAGGCGGCCTCCAGGCCTGGCCTGGGACTGAGAACCACTCTAGTGACCCCACGGCTCTCCTCTTGGCTGGGCCATAACCCTGTCCTGCCTGTGCTCCAAAGCCCAACTCCCCCTGATGCTTCTCTGTCCAGGCCCTGAGCACTACGAAGCTTGAAGCAGGGAGGGGTCCAGAGTGATAAAAGGGGGGGAAAGTGAGGGGTGGAAAAGCTAGGACAGAGAGGATCCTGCAAACTCGCAGTCTGGTGGGGAGAGGATCCTGCAAACTTGCAGCCTGGTGGTGCATCTCAAAGCCGCAACCTCCTGGCTTCAGACACCAAAGCCAAACGCATCCCGGTTTCCTGGGGTCGAGCGCCTACCGCCACCACCTCCATCAGCGCGTTCTGCCTNCCACATGACTTCCGGGACCCCCACTTGTGACTTTGCTCTATAAATGCTTGTGATTTTAAGCAGTCAAGGAGCATAAGGTCTTTAAGCCCCTTTGGCTATCGCCATGCTCCTTTAAATGGCCATCCAAATAAATGCTAATTTTTAACACTACGAACTTCGGCATGAGAGACTTAGTCATTTGGACAGCAGATGACAGAACTTTCTTAGTTCAGTAACAAAGGTAACACACCCCAAGGGGTCTTTTTAATGGACTGGGGACCTTCCCTAGTGCCCCGCAAATCATACCAGTTCACTCAGCCCATTTTTAAGGCCAGCCCTGTCTGATTCTGAAAATGAAAACATGAATGGAAGGCCCCAGGAGTTCTCTGAAATTCTCAGCTAGACTGTTAACATCAGGATTAGAGCCAAAGGGTTCCTCCCATCAATCCTGAAGCCTGGGACCTGTCCAAAACTGCTCCAGGAATCCTGATGGGTTCCAAGGTATCCTGCCTAGGGAATTACTAAGAGGCCTTACCAGTGTGACTCCTGTTTTTTCAAAGGGACCCGTAGGAGGTCAGGGCTGCAGTGGAGGTTCGGGTTTATCCTCAAAAGACTCCCCAGGCAGAAGGGGATGCCCGTTGTTTACTAAGAGTGTGAAAAGGGTATGCTGTACACCATGAATGAACCTTAAAAATATTTTGCTAAGTGAAAGAATCATTCACAAAGAACCACATATTGTGTACTTTCATTTATATGAAATATACAGAATAGGCAAACCCGTACAG